ATAAGAGACAGGATTCAACGAATCACATTTGGAATAACATTTTTTTTATTGTCCCATTATTGTACTTGGAATTTGCAACAGAATGATTGGTATAAAACATGGTTTGCTCAAATGGCAAATATAAATAAATGATTAATAGTGGTTAATACCTTTAATATGCCACTTAAAGACTTGGTACAAATTCATAGAGCAGTCAGGATGCAAATGTACCTTGACAATATACACATCCAAATTGATTAGGGCAACAAGGAACAAAAAATACTGTCTTATCTCATAAGTAATTAGCAAACATGCTATACAGCATTGTTTGGGAATCATGGTCTTATATTTCAGTCTTAATTCAGTTGGCCCACAATCCTTTGTGATTGGTCACATGGGTTGCCAGTGATTTTACCTCCTGCCATTTGTTGAGGGCAGTCTTTGTTAACATCAATGAAATTCAGGTATGGTAGCTACTACATTTTCAGCTCATTTTGATATCCAAGTGCTTTTACTACCTCGCAATTTCCTCCTTAATTTTCTCCTCGCTTTCCACATTCTGAGGATCTGTTGCACACTCCTCACCTTCCTGCTGACTTTCTACCACCGCTGCGGTACTTTCTTCCTCTGTTTTTGATTGTTCGGTTGCATTTTCATTGCTATCACTGATGTTGGGTGTAGAATCCGTGCTTTCTTTCTCCTCCATCTGGAAAATAGGGGATAAACATACAATTAAAATTAAAATTTGTTTTATCCACCATGAATGTCATTTCATATACTTTAAGGGGTCCCAAACTGGAAGAAGTCATTTTCAGGGGATCTGTTTAAATGGGCTTTCTTAGCACATTTAATTTTATTTTGATGCTTATGGTGATGCCCATTCACACTGACTTCTATGAGACAAATGATAATAAAGGGCAATACAGTAGTAAAAACTAATTTAATTAATTTCTGTGAGATTCTTGCTTGGTTGCAGAAGGCTGTCCAGATTTCCAGGATATTCCTGTGACCTTAATAATGGTTGTATGAGTGGGGTTGTTTATAAGTCAGCAGAAGCCAACATAGCTCAGTGGGCTGTGAGTTGCTGTGTATATGGACCGACGGTGATCCTTGTGTCTTTTTTTCAATTTAATAACTGCTCTCCTTGATATGTTTTAGCTGGAGGCCTGAAACAGTGTTCTAGTACAATGTCCTTTGGAAGAAATGCAATTTCATTTGTTCCTGAAAGCATCAAGGAGTGTGAGAGTGTGTCAATGAACTCTATTCAATCATCTCTGAGAAGAGTAATGGGTTATCTCCTGAGGTACAGACCACTATCACTTCATACCTAAAAGCAAAATACCTTTTTTATACATTGTTTAGCAGTCTATATTTTTGAAAGATCTCCACAACAGTAAGAAATAAAAATTTTAGCAAAATATTTCTGCAAAAGCATGTAGGTAGAGAAAATAAAAATTATACAAAAAGTATTACAAGTCAATCGTGATGTCATCACTGCCACTCCCAATGTTATTTGCCTATTCCCCCACAGTCCAATAATTTTTCAATTAGTGGACGTTTGGCTTGGTTTTTTTTTTTTATGTTTGTGTGCAAAACAATATACCTAATTTTTCATCACCGCAATGAAAATTGAATTGTAATTAAAAATTTACTTTCATAAAACAAGGTTACTTAGAACCCGAAAGAAGTTGCTTAATTCAATATTAAGTATGAACAATTAAGGAATTCCTTGAATCAATGAACCCTAATAAACTAAACAAACTGAACGTTTTAAAAATTATATTTTTGGTAAACTAGCGGACGCGCTGCCACGAAATTTCAGAAAAAATAATAGTTTTTCTTCATTTAAAGTACGCCCACCGCTGCCTTGAAATCTCTAAAAAATAAGATATGTATATTTCTTCCAAATATAAATTTAAAGCACTTAACTATCCCATTTCTACACTGTTTACAATACCAATTAAATTTTATTCGTCTAAAATACACTACAGATACTTGGTAGTCTATAGTCCCTTGTACTTTGATTATACATTTAATTTCACAATTATCTTTCATGAAGATGTTACCTCAGCTTTATGGATCATATCTAATTTTTTTCTTGCTTCCATCATTGGTACACCAATTGCTACATTGCCATAGCTGTGTAAAGGCAGCGTGCCTAGCCAGGTTAACATACTGATAATCGGTTGTTAAGAAAATACACACAATGAATGAATGCTACTAGTCAAGTTCGAGGTATCAATAAACATGCGGTATCACCTTTCTATCGGTCAGTTACTGCATTACAATTTAAATAATCATGAGGCATCAGTTTTAGGCCATATTATTGGTCAGTTACTTCCTACGATTTAAACATGTGGCATCCATTTTAGAACATACTATTGGTCAGTTACTTCATTACGATTTAAATAATCATGAAGCATCAGTTTTAGGCCATATTATTGGTGAGTTACTTCCCTACAATTTAAATAAATATGAGTTATCAGTTTGGGCCATATTATTGGTCATTTATTTAAGTGCAATGTAAATAAACATGAGACATCAAGTTTAACCTCATTATAATTCAAATAATCATAAGGAATCAGTTCCATATTATTGGTCAGTTATTTCATTACAATTTAAATAAAAACTTGAGGCACCAGTTTTAGGCCATATCATAGATCAGCTATTTTCCATTACAATCTGATGCATTGTACAGTATCAGTTTAGGCCATATTATTGGTCAGTTACTTCATTAGAATTTAAATATTGAGGCATCAGTTTTAAGGTCATTCTGTTATCAGTTAATAGTTAATTACGTTTAAATAGACAATAAAAGGCATCAGGTTTAGGCCATACCATAGATCAGTAATACTACCAATACATTTGAAAAATAAATTATGAGGCATCAGTTTTAGGACGTTATTGGACACTGCCACTACAGTTTGAACTAGAGCACTCACTCCAAAGACAGCATACTTCCACCCTGTTCCTTAATACTAAACAATACGCTGGCTGTGTATTGGCGATTCCATTATTTCATTTATTTCCTTAAATCTAATTTCTCTGACCTTGAAAGTGTCCTTTGACCTTTCTTCCCAAAATTTAATCAACTCTTTCTTAGGTTATTATGTATATACAATTTCACTAAATGTTTGATGATCCATTCCTCAGTTTTTCCATAATCTTGCTAACAGACAGCGGTGAGTACATAACCTCCATGACGAGGTGATAAACACAAGGCATCAGCTTTCATTTTATAGCCATAAATAGCTGGTATTTTGCTACAAATGCTTTCCAATATGATATAAACTTATTGAAGGATACGTTCTCTCTTCTTTTTCTGTATTTATAATTGTTGGATAGATGAAATCTCTTTTAAAGGCTTCTACTTTGTCCTGTAAATAAATTTCATAGAAAATTAACAAAATTACATGGAAACAAAACAATAGATGTTAGTTTCAAATGTGCATATTCATGTATAAAAGCCAACTCAGACAGCATCGTACAACACAGCCCGATGCTTTTTGCTGTTGTGTCGGGTCTGTGAGAGTTCAACGCAGACGCGATGTTTTGCGTCTGGGACCACAGAATATTAAACATGTTTAACATTTCAGCTTAAGACTGTCCTTGAAGATGAATAGCGTCGGGCTGCCTCGTACAATGCTGTATGAGTTGGTCTCAACATGAAGGCACAAACAAACAAATTGAACTTTCTGGAGTGTCAAATTATAACAACTGACCAATCAGAACAGGGCTAAGATTATATGTTTGTCCCACAAACATGTCTTGCCCATGAAATGCACGTGTTTGTGTATATCGTGGCCAGAAAGAGTAACAGGCTGCTTTCCGGAGAAGTTGTCCTTTTGCGGGAACCCACCAACAATAACATACGGGCAAGGTTTAGCAGTCCATTAGTGGAGTTCAATGATGCTTGCCTTCTAATCCCAGGGTCCTGTGTTCAATGCCTGTAACAGCAGGACTTTTTTGATGACTAAAAACAACTCCACACCCTTCACAAAGAGACTTCGCTGATAAAAGCATCATCACATTATTTAATTTATTTAAAGAGGACCCTTTAATATCAGCCGACCTTCTAGGATACACTGGAAAGGTTCACCCTCTATAAATATGGTAAAAAATAAAAAATTCTAGAGCATTATTATTATTATGATTCTGTAGTTCTTGTATGTTATTATAATTACTTAAGTTTAATTGGAATATTAAACTTACCTTACAACTATCCCATACCAAAGGCTCATGCAGTCCATCACTCCCCCACTTCTCATTGTAATGCTCATAGTGTACCTAGCACATTAAACAAATCAATTTTTTAAAAATATTTAAATTATAATAAAAAATGAGGGTGAAAACCATTTTAAATTTACTATGCTTATTTGTTGACACAATTCTGTGCAAACATTTGCAACCAGTCTTTTTTGCAATGAGATTTGTTTACTTTTTTGAAGGGATACTGAAAATAAAAATCATATATATTACTGTATCAGCAACACCAGATGTAGCTGCAGAAGCAATTTATTAAAATAGCGAGTACATACTGCACTGACTAACTTGATGTGCTTCAATTAAATAAGGAATAACAAAAAGACAATATATTTGGTCTATTGTCTAGTGGTATGCTGGGTTTCTGTAGTTTCCACAAGCCATCAGAGCAGGCTGGCTCAAGCAGTTATCACCTTGGGCCTAGCGACTAGTGTAGGCAGGGTTCCAGTAGTTCTACCTCTGCCATTGATGTAGGCTGGGTTCTGGTAGTTTCCAACTTTGGCCAAACCATTGGTGTAGCCTAGTTTACAGTGATCACCACCACTGCTATTGGTGTATGCTGAGTTCCCAGCCACCTCTCATCTTGGCCTGACCGGATGAAAACAATCATGCAACTGTATATTAAATTGATGAAAGAAGTTTTTTTTTTTATAATACTCACACTTTCTAGTACTAGGCCTAGGCCTGGTGCTTTGGGAATGTCAAGCTTGTCACCCTCAAAGACCTTCTTCATCACTGATTCCTCTGCTAACCCTCTAATGACTGCTAGCACCAAGCCTACATATTGATTACAGAGGTAAAATGAAGTGCAGACATTGGATTATATCAGAATGGAAAGCTAGCTTCATAGTTAGGGGGCTTATCTCCTAATACCAGGCCTAGGCTCAATTACTGGAATACTGTGAAATAACTAATACTCTCTTGATGGTCTAATGAGGCTTGAGGAGTGAAGTAATTTGTCATTTGAGGCTTGGCATCCTAAACCAAGCGTCAGTTACCAAAAATTGACTTCTTGATATATTCTAATTCTCCACATTATAAGCTTTGAAATGATGGGTCACTTACTGGAATCGACTTATTATTGCCTTTTACTATAGTTATGAGTAAAAGTATTACAGCTTCTCTGTACTAAAGTATACAACACTGTCACATTCTTATGCTGATTAATCAGTTTAACAATTAGCGACTGTATGCTGGTTTTGGGTTGGCACGCCTCATTTGATGTTCTATAACCTAGTTTCTTTTTAGGAGGCTTGGTTATTTTGATTGCTTACCATGATTAAACCAATGATTTAATGATTAGTGTATGTATGTTAATTGTCCAACTCATTCCACTAAGGAAGATTGTCCCTTGATATTCCCCATAATGGGACTTGCTTTACAAAGCCACATACAGCATATCTAATACAGTACCTATCCTATAAGGCAAATTATTTATCTATTTTAAAAGAAAATATCTGAAAACAAGCATCATGTTGAAAGTCGACCCAGCCTCACATTACACCCACCTTATGATCCCTCTATGATGGATAATGAAACTAATGGGAAATTTCCTTTAGACTTACCAACCATTTTTCTAATTTGGTGCAACATAAAGCTTTGACCCCTGACCCTCAAGGTTGTAAACTCCATTCCATCTTGCATAAAAGGTTCACTACATGTAAAATCCTTAATAAAGCGATAGGCACTTGGGTCCTTAAATTTTCTGCAAGTATTAAGCAAAAATAAATCATATTTATATTATAATTCTAAATTTTCAAAGACATACTGGTTTAACATATCTACCTCACAATATTGTGAAACTTGGTACAAATTATCCCCAACAATGTATAGCATTTGTTATCAATGTTCGTCACTGGTGCTGGGAACAGTCACAAAAGTGCCCCCAATAGATAAAGTGGAGAGAACAATGACCCCCGCCCCCAGCTTCCGCAGCCATTGGTTATCTCTTGGCACATTTAGCGCAAAAAAAAATATTAAGAACTAAAAAAACTTGTTGAACTTTTCAATACTAAATTACTAAACAGGAGTTTTTAACCAAATTGAGATTTATTACTGATTTGAGAAAATTATTTTATCAACTTACTTGCCAGATGTGAAATTATGAAAATTCTTTGAACCATGGTAATATTGCAGCAAACGGTTCACCTCCTTAATGGTTTCATCTGCAACAAAACAAAAATGCAATTTTAGGAAGACCTGTAGGTCTATCTCCTACAAATTTATAAGGCAGCTGTTTTCAAGTTTGAACTGCTGTGTGTAATGCATGTTGAAAATATAAAATTTTTCTACCTGTTAACAGCAAGGTACGGTAAATAACCTTTAAATATAAAAATGGTCTTCTAAAGACATTCTTAAACACAGCTACATTAAATTGCCTTCTGTATGCAATATTTGGGTTATGCAGAGTTCCATCTTAGATTTAGCAATACATGTATTATTATATTGGGTCTGAAACAAAAGCATGTCGCATTCCCGTAATGTTACTTTATTCAGTCTAAATACAGATAACAAATAGGACAAATGTCGGGATAAGGTAGAATAGAATTTTTAGAATAATGGTGAATTTGACAGATATACAAAATTTGCCAATGTTAGTTTGGAAGTAATGAACTACATAATATAAAATAGACCCTATTTTCCTTAAACTCATTTATGTGGTATCATTGGGGATGGTGATTAGAGCATAATTGTTACAGGCATACTTACATTTTTTTATACAACTGACATTACCAATGGCTCGCCGATTATATGTAATCCATTCATACGGAAAGGCATTATATTATGGCAATATTACTGCAACAAATGTTGGAAGTGACATCATATATGCACTACCCATAGCTATCAAATACCACCTCGACCAGCACACCGCTGCCCCCAAGTTTCAAACACCACTATAACTCTTAGACCTTTTTTTCAAATACCACCTCTACTTTTCAACCACAACGCCTTTCCTACCTTTAAATCTATACGTGTCAATTGTAATATCATCTGCTGCCGAAAATGCATACGTTGGAAGAACATAAATGTATGTTCGCTCGTCACAGTCTCGCCAAGAGCTGAATATTCCCATTGTTCTCACAATATCTAAATTATGAATGCAAAAAAATAATACTATGTTACCTTTCACCCGATATGCATCAGTCGTAAATTGCTCTACTGGTTGAAAAGCGAAGGTTGGTGTCATGTATGAATATGTGCGGTAGTCGCAGCGATTTTTACTGTCAAAACTGTTGATCACCCTCTTATAATCTACAACAAAAGAATGAAGAAACAGTATCAGTAATATCTCCCACAGAGTCTTGATCAAAAACTTCAATTCCAATGAAATTTGCAATCAGTTCATTTTGTTTTTGCGCCTTTGATTATTATTACTGTGTTAATGATTTACATTTCTGTTGAATTGTTCCTTTATAAATATTACCTTTGAACTTTATATTAAAAACAAAAGCAATCGTAAACTGAAATCTTAAACTTTGAAGGCTATTTCTCAAATAATGGACTTTAAAGAGTAGTACATTCAAATTCCTGTAACTTCATAATGAAATGAAGGATTTCAATAATTCTTTTACCAATTTATAACTTTTATTTTACATGTATTAATAATTAAAAATCACTGTTTTGCACGGAGAAACTGGTTTGTCTTGTCTTAGCCACATTTACTCTTAGGGTGTTGCCACTCCTAATTCAACACAAAAAAAAATAAAGATTGTAAATGAAAGAAATAAATGACATTAATTCTAATCTTAACATTAATCTAAAATACATACCCATGACCCGAATCTGGGCTGGTAAATGTTGATTTATTCTGTCGACGACATCATTCAACAAATACATCTTCATAGAGACAACCTGGCCAGCAGCTGAGACTCCTTTATCTGTTCTTGCACAACGCTGGAACGACATCTTGCCAATATGTTCTGCCATGCTTTCTGTCACTGCCTCAGCTTTTGTCATTGCTTTAAAAAGTTCGTCTTCTATGGTTTTAAAGCCTTTATTTCTAAAATGGGGACAAAAATTAAGGATAGATATACTTGCATTACTCACAATTATAACTGAAATATATCACTATCATATATGCTGCGTATATATCATCATTAGTAAGTTTGTATTTTTTTATTTCTCAATATTTGAGAAAGTTTATATCTGTATCTGCTCTTTTGGCCTTTTTGCTGAGTTTCTCCAACAGTCTAAGGTCTTGCTTTGTGACTGTACTGGTCTGTGTAAAGTCATGTATAACACAGCCAAACTTCCGAACAGAATATATATTCTCAATATATTCAGAATTTTGTTTATGTGCGGAATAACTAATGAACAAAAAAAACAAAAAAAAAACATGAAATTTGTGGATAAGAGCCGAGAGTTTCTCAGCTTCAATATGATTGGTATGAAAAAAATAATGATGAAAATAATATTATGATGATGATAATTATATGACAATGATGATGAACTTTACTTACATTTGCATACCCTTGTAGCCAACCCCAGAATAACTTAGCAAAATAGCAACTTTCCTCTTCATTACTTTCTTTGGTTCACTTGTAGATGCATCCTATAAATTAGCATATATGAATAAATCATGAATATTCATGTTTCATAATGAACAGAGGGCAGCAAACAATAGGATTGAAATACAGGTTCCATTACATTTAGTCCATTCAACATCTATGACCTGAAATCAAATACTATATTTGAATTATAAACTTCATTTTCCAACATGGTATTAGCTTATAGTTGAAAAGAAGTTTTGAAATAAGTCAGGGAAAATTTAATTGCTTTGAACTCAATGAATGTTATTGATCTTTTAAATGAGCAATATATTTTTTTTAATTGAACTTTGAAGTAATATACAGCCATAATAAATCATGCAACATTTTCTATTGTTCTCTTGGTTTTTTTTCATCTTATGATCTTAATGTTATCAAATGGGGCTTGCTGTGCCAAAACCAGTACCAATGACCAAAACAAGAAAATTGAGTTTTTGATATATTCATACTTCACCACATTATAAGCTTTAAAATGATGTCATTTTATGGGAATCGACTTACTATCGCCAAATCTATGAGTAAAAGTATTACAGCTTCTCTGTACTAAAGTACACAATACTACCACATTCTTATGTTAATTACTTAGTTTAACATTTAGCAACAGTTGGTTTTGGGATGCCAAGCCTCATTAAATATTAGATATTACTTATTTCTACCTCAGTTTTCTGCTTTTTAACTTCCTGATCAGCTTTCTCATCTTCTACAGGCCGCTTTCCTGATGCAGTGTCCACTCCACCAATTTCTGCCATTTTTGATAGAGCTGGCCAAATCTTAAGTTGCTGCAGTAAACCCTGGACCTTCCGAAGCATTGACCCGCAAGTTGTTATAATTGGCACAATTTATTGTATTTCCACACCTTATAAAATCAAAATAACATTAATAGTAAACAGTGGCGGCTCTAGGATATATTTTCTAGGGTTGCTAAGTTGTCCGACAGGGGGACTTGAGCTCGTAGGCTCGAGCTTGGAGAAGGGGTTGAGAGGGGGTTCCCCATCCCAAATGAGATTTTTTTAAAGAATATCAACCTCTAGATGGCCAAAAATGGCACTTTCAGACTGTGACAGACATGTGTTGGCTTGGTGTGGGCCTATTTTTATATGTTTTATGGTCTGACTGCCCGACGAGCTCTGTCCGGCGGTGGGGAGCTTAAGCCCCACCTTGCCACCCCACTGGCGCCGCCACTGATAGCAAATGGTAAAATATATACTGGTATATCAGGGGTGGGCATCAAGATAGATCGGAGGGCCAAAGTGAACTTTGGATTTAACACCGAGGGCTGCACCCGAACTTTGATGTTTCCAGTGCGCTTCCGAATACCTTTATGCACTGCTATTATACCTATGTGCAGTTTTAATATTACAGTACTTTTTACAGATAATCAATGTCGGGCCCTAAAAAACAAGGTGTTTTTAGCCAAAGATGGTTGGTGGGCTGTATACATAGGGTTTTTAATTGGGCCGCAAAAAAACACCGTCGGGCCGCATGCGGCCCACCTGTGGTCTAGATGTATGTACTGTACCAATTTTGATTTTATATTAGTTCAAATCCTGGGGAAGGGTATTTATGGAGGGCCAAGGTTTTGGCCCTCGAGACACCCCAACTGGTACTCCTCTCCTTAACCTTCATACCCCTTATGTCAATAGGCCTACTGCTAGATAAGCCACTAATTTGGCAATTTTAGCTGTTAAAAAAATGAAAGTATGCTTACACAAATATTTTTCATTTTTTTTTTGGTCTACGCTGTGGCTGCAAGTCCCTACTTCCAATTGTTATTTTTTAATATTTTTTGATTGGGACACTATGTTTTACAAGGTCTTTTGAGGTTTATAAAATTATTTTTTAACTCTTTTCAATGTGTCTTTCTTTGTAACATTTGAAAAACTTTCAAAATTATTGATGTTGTAGTGTTACAGCTCCACTGCTATAGGATAATGTGGTATAGTCCAAAGAGAATCATGTGTTCATTACACCTCCAGCTTTTATTGGTTGCTTTATTACTATCCCATTTCTTAAATATATCATTTGTTTGATGATGGATAATCTCCAATCAATCCAAATTTCAATCATACATTAATTAATTATTCTGTTTTTAATTTACTATTGTGGCCAATACAGTAATAATACAGAACATTAAAAACTATGATCTTCAAAACAACATTTATTTTGAAATCACATACAGAAAATGATTTATTTGGCAAGTAGAAAACTACCTAGGCTCAACTAATTTAGCTTTAACCCTTTGAAGTCCCAAGTGACTTTTGCCAAGGTCACTGAGGCCCATTAAGCCCCACTGTCATCATCCGCTAAAATAAGGGTAAGTGCATCACTGACGTTGAATGATTGCTTCTGTTTTGGCCATTTTGAATGCTTCTGCACGTCCAGTTGCGGCAACAATAGGGAAATCCCCTAAAGTACTCATTAAATAGAGGGCAGCCGCACTAAAATCAGTCCGTATATAATACGGAGCAGGTTTCCTGCGACAGTAAATTGGTCCGTATATTATACGGACCGCGACTTCAAAGGGTTAATATTCACAATGATAATCATTTACAAAGCGCCTAATATATTGATAGTAAAATTAAAGTTTGGCAACAAATTTAAAACTCTGTCCACACTAAGTATTTTCTTAATTACAAATATCTGAGCATGATTATGTCATAACACAACCATATATGGACAAAGCAATGTATATGTCACATAAAACTTGATAGTGTAGTGTGGACAAAGCTTTAAATTAATCTACAATAATTATAGGCGCTGAAGAAGCTATACAAGCTGGACATAGACTATCAATTTTTGTCTCTCAGACTCCATAGAAAATGTTTGGTCAAACTTTGGCAGTGTATGCTTGCTTATTACATGCTTCTGTTTCTATTTACTGCCTTTTTCCATGTCTGTTGGAAATAGGAGAGTCTGACTAAACTCAAAAAATTACTCAGTACTGTAGTCAAAACTGAACTTTTTCAAAAATTGATTATGTACAATTACTGAATTTATTAGAATAAACGCCCACGCCGCTTATTTTTTAGAAAGGTTTTTGAGGGGATGGTTATTCGAGGGAGGCTTTAATTTTTTTTTGGTGTAAAATGGATATGTACATACTCAAACAAATGCCTTTTAATTTCACTGTGGAACTACAACACATATTGTAAGTACCGTCAAAATGTGTTATTGCGTGATCATGCAACCAGGTTAGAAAATATGTAATTCTACTGGAGTGGAACATTAAGAGAATGTGTTGAGAATTATATTGTTTACATTAGATTTGCTTACAGTCATTTAGGAGGGCGTTTATTTGAAGGAAAGAAACCTTCGGCATTTACTAGAGGGTGGCATTTATTCAAAGGGTAGCATTTATTCAAATAAACACAGTAAATTAGAGACCAATTACGAAACTACATAAATGTTACATAGTGTCAATGAAAAATACTCTATAATGTTCACGCTACATAATTAGTACTCTTAATGACATTGATAGGCATCCTTTGACAATTGCAAAATCTTATTGATTGTACTTAGGTTTTTCATTTGCATATTTCATTCAACTTTTTTGAGATTTAAAACCCAGAAAATGAACCAATTTGGAAATATAACCAAAGCTGCTAGTCCTAAACTCCAGCCACTATGTAGGTAACTATCAGTAACAACGGCTAAGAGTCCCTCTTGCCAAAGGCTGAATGCCGAGACTAGCAGATTCCCTACACTCACAAATTTTTCTACAAATGAGCAGTATGTTAAAAGTCCAAAATAAAGCAAAAATGGCGGACACAAACAAAGCAGCAAAAGTGCCTGTAAAATAGTAAAGAATCTTCTCTTTTGTGGTCTGATCAGAAGGTAGACTGGAGTGATTACTACAGATAAGAAATACCCAAGGGCAAAATTTGTCAGAGCTATAGAAAAAACTGTTATCGCATGCCAGATGAGACCAAAGCATTTTAGAAGCTGCCATTCACACTGTCTACTCTGTCCCTGGACAATCTTATGCCAACTACGACCACTAATAATCGGCAGAAATGCTGATCCTAAGTAAAATGCTACCACCCCCAGGGGCACTGCTTCTGTTGGGGTAAGCCCAAACAAGCTACTATATTTACTAGTAAAAAGCACAGGACTATAGTGCAGCAACATCCCTGTGATGTATGCACCAATAATAATAGGTACAATAGAAGCAAAAGGCCTAGACTCCCTAATCTTTAGTTTCTGCTTTGGTTTTTCCTTGAGCTTGTCCTCCTCATCTAGAGAGTTTCCAGAAGCAATCCACATCGCCAGACCATGGAACACTGATGGAGCAATAACAAGTCCGAATGGTGGCATATAAAGTCCAATTGATATGTATCTATGGGTTGCTGCCAGAAAGTAGAAGAAGAATGACTGATGAAAACGTTCAAGAAGGTTATTCAGACTCCGAAAAATGCCTTCTAAAATTCTTCCCATTGCGCGAAAGTTCTGACCGGACTGCACTGGTGACATTTTGGTGTGGACAGTGATGGCCTCCACACGATATTTGAGGAATAAACCATGAAGGCCTCTTGGTCTGCCAGTAGCTTGGTGAGCAAGGTTTTTCATCATTGTGTCCAAGCTTTTCTTCAGACTTCCCCAGGTAGTTCCCCTATATGGAGGGTCACTATTACCTTGAAATGTAACTGGGATTCCTTCACGCTCACAAAGGTTGACTACCAGGTTAAAAAGGTCCAAATTTGGCAACTGTCCGTTCACCCCTTCAATCCGAATATCTACCGAGTCTATAAATTCTGAACCCTGCTCAAGATTTACTGCACCCATGATTGGACCGCTCCGTCCGATCATTGGTGATGACTGAATGTATTCCGATGGCAGGCTATGGTAGGCAGTTAGCCAAGCCTCCATCCCAATGTATTCTTCATCAACAACAACAAAAATGACATCCTTTGACCAATATGTGAATCCTCTGAAAAACTTGGCCATCGCAAGCATCATAGCTATGCCATGGTTAGTAGCACCGTACTTATGCTCTGCAATCCTTCCTCGGTATGGAACTGTCACCACAACTGCTTCTGTGCTAGCTATGCGAGGAGCTCTCAAAATACCGTACACATTGTTTCCTTCAACAATTTTCATCTTCCCACTATCCTTTCCATATCTCTCCAGGAATGGATGATTTGATGTAAAGTTTTGCAGATACACCTCCAGACCAATTTCGGAAAATTTGTCAGAGAGCCAGTCAACAGGCAGTGAATCATGCTTCTTAATGACCTCTAGAAGTTCTTTGGTATACATTTTGGCATTCTCATCAGTAGAAAATTCTCTCTCCACAAGTCCTGGTAGAAGAGCGTTTTCCGAAAAGTAAGTATGAGCATTGAGTGGCGGGTAGGCCAATGCAAAGAAGTAAGCTATACCAGCTACGTAACAAACCATACTTAGCTTCTTGTGATGGTTTGTGATCATCTGGGCCATCTTGGCATGTGTTTTGGTATTACTCATTAAACCCATCTTGAAACAAGCTCTGGTTGAAGTCAAGGAACAGTATTAATGCTGTACTTCTGCGAACATCAAAAGAAAGAATCAGTTTCAAAACAACAGTCCAAAAATCCTCAAAGTTGCTGACAAAGAATACCAACAAATGCAATAAACTGATAGAAGCCAAATAGAACGTTGTTAACCATTCTAAAATCGACAGAAAACATAGTAAAATATAATATCTATTGGTTTTCAAAGGTGGATAGACATTCATCTGTTACAGTTGCTGTCTGATATCACATTTGACCTGATGAGACCACAGTGGAAGATACAATTACAAGCCTTAATATTTTTATAATCTTAGTTTTTCTCCTTTTTGACTGATATTCTTGTGCTTTGGTGACTGTGCAATGTTTTAATGACTGTTGTTTGATATCTCTTCCATCTTGTAATTATTGTTATACTGCATTTGATCATCATTATATTCATACTGTCAACTGTATATTTTAATCGCCGTGGCTAGAGATACGGTACCGTATCGAACTTCCGATTGCTAAAGGTACGATAAATGATATTACGTCATGATTAGCCAATAGAAATGACCGACTCGATTTTGGCCTTTTTGCAAAGTCGACGTCGTGATCATGAGAAACGTGTGGCGCGAACAGTTACGATAAAATTTATGTCATAAAACTTTAGGCCCATTTCATGTATTTCGATTGGGGCTTATCGCAATGTTTGAGATAAAAATCCTTTCTGTTATTCTTGCGTATTTTATGGTCTACCAATGTTCCTAATACCCGCCTAGGGGCCTATTATAGGCGTACTACTAGGCTAGGCTTACTGTAGTGCAGTTGTTGCGGCCCTGAGTCGATTCAGCCCCGGGTCGTTTCGGCCCTGAGTTGGTATTTTTGTCATGCATTTTGGCAGCGGTGCATGGAGCGCCGAAGGTGCGGCCACGAATAATAATTTAATCGAACAAGGTGGCTAAGCAGTATACCGTTTGTTAAACATGAAACTTAGGCTATATTACTGCAACATTATCAGATATTAACAATTCTTTTTAGTAGTATTTTATTATTATTATTTTATTATTAAAGAGTTCATTGCAGTATCAAATGATGTTCAAGTTTCTTTTTACAGAAACAGCGCAAATGTTGCAAGTCGATTGGTTTGGAGACACGTTTCTTTTTATCGTTTCCATACGATATATATTTGGATCATGTTTATAAATGCTTCAATAAAATTTAGATTTATAAAATAAGAAGGCTTATAGTTAATTTAGCGGATTAGTTTGTCATAAGTTTTTTTGGTTTTTTTTGCATCTCCATTTACATTACCAAATGTTCTATTTATAACAATACATAGGTTAATATAAAATAAATTAAAATTACTGAATTATGTGATAATGAAAATAAAGCAAATATATTATTGTATTCATAAGGCCAACAAAATCACTCATTGCATAGAAATTAACTATTTAAGAAATTATTAACTACAGTATAATTTGAGGAAAGAAACGTTTTCAACAATTATGTTGAGGTGAAGCAGACACATGGTTTGTATATTCTTGTTTGTTGTATTTACATTGTCGATACATATTTTGATTAGGCATGTTTATAGAATACACAAACAAATGGAAATATTAAAATGTATAGTTTAAATAAAATTTATAGGCCTACAATGTTAATGGCTGTTTCAGGCTTCTTTTGATATAAGTAGGCCTAAGCCGGAAATTTTACTCAGAAGGCCTACGGTATTGTTGCATGGAAATTAATTATAAAAGTTCCCAGTACTCTTTAGGGTGAAGCAGACATCCTTTGTACGAAGTCTTCAGGAACGTGTGGGCGCACTACTGCAAAGAGTGAAGTACAGGTCAGAGGATAAAATTAAACTGGCTATTTTTTAGGTGCACACACATGCCATGGCAGTGAATGTGTATGTGTGTGTTCACCTCTCGTCTATGGTTCCGATTAAAAAAAAAAAAATATTCAACTTTTTTTAAGCTTTAATATTTCATTTACCGTATATGGACAGGGCCCCTGCCGGCAGGAGTCGATCATGAGATGTCCGAAAGGGAAACCGAAAATGGGGGCCGATCGAAATAACATCGCCTTAAGGGCCGTATCGCCGCATATTGTTTTCTAGACAGACGCAACCTCTGAGGCATTTTGGGCGATCAATTTTTTCCCCTTTTTTAACTTTCTATTAAATTAAATTCATAGCCAGGTTTCAACTAGGGTGAGGGCCTAAGATAGGCAGTAACAACAAGGAAAGGTCGAACCTAGGCCTAGAGATGTTCAGGCAGGCCTATCCTACCTAGGCATAGCTAGGTATAGGCCGGCCTACTACTCTCTAGCTATAGGCCCTCCGGCTTCGCTAGGTTTCAGCTAAGGCCTAGGCATGGCTTCTACTATTAAAATAATTTATTCTCGCTTGATGTCGCCAAATCTAGCAAAACTGCTATCATTTTTAATTGCTATAGGGCCTCGGGCTTGTCAACAACACCAGCGAACGAACAAAATTTCTTATCTCCGATCGTTGCCAACACACACATTCTTGCAGCAGCAGTGCACTGAATGACGTCACGCATGTATCGGCGTTTCTATTGGCTAAACATGACGTAATATCATTTACCGTACCTTTAGCAATCGGAAGTTCCGATACGGTACCGTATCTCTAGCCACAGCGTATTTTAATGCGAGTAGGGCCTAGTAGGCCAACTGAATTTCCTTTTTTGGAGCAATTAATAAAGTTGATCTTATCTTAAAAAAGAATATGTATTGCTTAGTAATAGTAGTCCTTAGTAGTAGCATGGCCATCAATAGTGTGTCCCTATCATTAGCAATAAAAAGAGACCTAACTTTTGTACAGTATATCCCCCACATTAAGTAGGCCTAGGCCTGCTGGATCACTGAATTTTTAGTCCAGGTAATGCCCTACTATACTAAGCCTAGGCTAGCTAGATAGTGCAGGACCAATGTCACGGTTGGCCATATCCAACCTAGCCTACTAAAAATGGAATACCTACAGGTAGGCCAGGGTAATGTCAGGTCTGTAGAAGGCCAGGCTTAGCAAGGTCTCTAGGCCTAGGTCTTGCCGCCTAGGCCGTAGGCCTAGGTCCGATAGAAGGATATGCGCCTAGCTAGGCCTAGGATAGCACACGACGATAAAAAATGTGGAATATACTACAATTATAACAATTATTTCCGTATAGTTTAATGATGCATAACGCCTCTGTTTTATTTAAAATTACATTGGCAGTATTTCTTATGTATTAAGCCTAGTGAAAATTAGTGGCATTTTCAATACCATACCTCTCTCCCCGGCCGTCGTAACCATCCGCATGGAATCGATCTCCTTCTTTTGCGGAAAAAAAAAGGAGCGATTCCATAATTCATATATGCTGCCCTCTATTTCAAACTGAAGTTCGCACGCCGCCACACAAAAAACAAAACACATTCACACGGAACAGACAATACAGTTTTGTGGAGGTAAATATGAAAGTGAAATGGTAAGTTTGCTGGAAAAAAGAAACAAATGTTGATGTTTGAGAAGTAACTATATTACTAACCATAGAAAAGAAATAGGTAAGTAGATGGAAAACATTGAATTTAATGTTTTAGGCCGGCAAAGTGTATTTTTAAGCAGCGCTTCAGTAGGTAGACCTAACAACAACATTTGACAGCATTGAGTGCACAGTATGTACAGTAGTAGTAGGCCTGGGCCTACATTCAGGATGACATTTGATTCTGATTGATTGGCCTTGGAAACGGATGATGTAGGCCTAGGCCCTAGCCTTGGCCTAGTATTTTGCCTATCATAAGGCTAACCTAGCAGTCAATACAATTTGCATTCATTCTCCCCCTCCATAAACAATGTAGTGTTGTGAAAATGTAGGCCTAGGTTATGTCAAATAAATTAAATCTTGCATCTGATCATGACAATAAATTCATCCGTTCCATAGCCTGTCTGCAGTGGGCTGAGGTCAGCAAATTAAAAATTGTCATTCGTGTGCTATCTGTGCAATTATTGTACACAGGTACAAAAGACTCAGCAGTAAAGTTGTTATATTAGAGACAGGTCAGTTTGGCTGACAAACAATATTTGTTGGTAATTTATATTGGTCAGAATTTCATGTATGCAGATGACGATCTTTTTCACTGTGGATTTCCATTCATCACAATGATATTGACGTTCAAGTGGCATTAAAATCATTGACTTACTGTAACATTATTATTATTATTTATTATGTAAGAGGCCTAAATTATTGAGATGAAGTGTATTTTATAAAAAGTCATTTTTATAAATTCTACTATTGTATTACAGTAAAACATCCTTTTTACGTACCCCTTGGTATCAAGGGGTATTCGTAAATTGAAAAATTGGTAAACTAGATCAGGTGTCAGTTTCCACTACCTAGGCCTAGCTACCCTCTGCCACTGAGCACGATAGGCTGACGACGGCCTGGCTTAGCACGAACCGACAGTGCAGCCGCGTGGTCTGCCGCGCTAGAGCCCAGCTGAAATTACCTTTGATAAAAAGCAAATTCTTGTAATCGCTGGCATTCTTCCGTTTAATAAAATATTGTTATAAGGCCACGTAAAATAAAACAATTGGTTAGCATCCCCGCCCGACCGTCGGAAAAGCCCCGACCTGAATTTTTTTTTTTTTCTTTCTTTTTTTTTTAACTATTTTTTTTTTTACAAAACACTCAAAAACTCCATCTCCCAAAGGCAATTTATATAGGCCTAGGCTTGTTTACCGTCCGTCCGAACGCCAGCCGACTGGGCTTATCCCTGCAGTTCTATTCCATCATCGTCCCGTCTAGGCCTAGTCCTTGCTTCTATCTAGAAAAGGCCTAGTTTTATAGTAGTAGTATAAAAAGAATGTATTTGTATACACGGTACAGCCGATGCAAAGCATTAAGATTTACTCGGGATTAGGTTTATATTAGCAAACTAAACTCCGATCCGATGATTACGTCTCATGCTTTGTGCAGAAAAACCAAGTCGGCCAATTAGCGCGTTGGTATTTCCATCACTTTGGAAGTAGACATCCACAGCGCGAAAGACAATCAAGGAGGAACCGCTCTATGGTGACCGGAGACAAGACAACTAACATGGCTGCGCTCATCAGTTTATTCTTATTCTTATTCTTTTAGTGCACAATAGAATAATCTTGATGGGAGGGCCTGGTCTCTAAAGTAAACTTAATTACTATAACAATTGTTTGAGAACCACTCCCATCCAGTATAAAAAAAAAACATCATTAAGATGTAAGATAAAATATAATAGACAACACATCACAACATCAAGCAAAAAGCAAGCAAAAAATAAAATAAAGAATAAATAACAGAATAAATGCAAGAACAGTCATTAAAAGCAAAAAACAAGGTCATCACAATCACCATTTGAGTACAGTTTAAAACTGTGGCATGTTCACTTCTTACCTGTGTGCAATATTTCACGAAATAAAATTTTAAAAATAAATTTTTATAGGTAGGATAGCATAGATAAATTTATTACTGGAAAAATAGTGGCGAGATAGTGCATGCGTATATTAGCGAGCGAGCCGTCCGGCCGTCTTTTGGACTGCCTACTTACAATTATTTAGGACGGCAACTTTTACCGTGACGGCTTGGACGGCTTGGCCTAATCAGCTCGGCCTAGCCTAATTGGGCCTGGTCTACCTTTAGCAAATTCTTTATATATTCTTCAAATCTATCGAATGTTACATTAAACTAAAGGTAAATCATATTTACGTTTGATAAAAACAACATTTATTGATTGAATGTATGTTTTCGTACCAATAATCGATGGGGATTACTAACGATGGGCGTGGCCCGCCATCGGCTCAGTGCCACGCCCACTGGCTTCCATTTTGGAAAAACAAAATAGGCCGTCTATTTTGTTTTTTCTGTTGTGTTGTTCCAACAACAAACCCAGTATGGTCCAGTTATAATTAATGTCCAGCAAACACAAAGCATGGAATATTCACATGCTGGTACAGTGACATGATGTTTCCAAACAGCTGGTCCAACTAGATGTCAAAGTGTTTATCAGCATAAACATAGCACATGATACTAGTCAAACTCATTAACAGTATAGTATTCAATCGTACAAAATGCCAGTTCAAAAATTACATTTCTGTTTATAAATGGACAATGATTTATTATACGACTATGACAAACTTCAATCTTCTTATTTTGCTGTTGTTTATTTTTATTTTAAATTTCACATCCAACAGCAATTACACTCGCCACTTAGGATGGAATGCTTTATAAACCTGTTATCGATATCATCAGTTCTGTAAACATATACAATGTTTTAAAACTTCATATATAGGGATTTCAATATGACTGTTATTCATATAGGCAAAGCTTATCTGCTTGATATAGATGAATTACATGATTTCTTGTATCCAATTTTGTTTTCCTCTTCTTTGTTATTTTCCTTCTGACGCTGGTTTTTCATGTTCTACGAGAAAAAAAAAAAAAAAAACCTCCCTCCCTACCATGAAATTTGATACCAAAAGGATGCTAACCAATTATTTTTTTTTACTTGGCCTAATTCTTATTAAAACATCAGTATGGACCTTTCCATTGTGTTCTTTCTAGTTTTTAGATTGCTGAATCGTGTTGCTTACACGATGTCAATAAGTTGTTGACCCCAACGCACTTGTTTACATGTGCACTCAATCTGATGACTCACGTTGGTTGGTAGTTTGTTGTTTATTACATTAATATATTGATTATCATAGAAATGGAAGAAAAGATTGAACTATTGATAAATACAACAAACCTGATTTTATTAAGAAAAATATACATTATCACTTTGTAAAATGTACGTAGACTTTTTTTACGTTAATAATTTGTCAATGATGACGTCATCAGTAGTAAAGACCATTCGTAAAATCGATGTTCGTAAAACGGACGTTTTACTATACTGCTAAAAATTACCCAGAAAGAATAGTTCTTTGGTCATGGTTAGTGGTCATTATAATGCCTTCCACAGTCTGAAAAACTGTATAAGACGTTTATTAGCCTCTAAGAAACTAAAATTAAATTAATTGATGAACAGACGCATATGTGAAGAGGAGGAGGTCCCTAGCACAGTATTGTTCTTTCTCGTCAAAACAGGCCCTCGGAAAGCTCATAACCCGATCTCCTAGAAGTTGTTTTGGATCTCTCTATGGTATCGTATGATCTGTGATTAGGCAATTTACAGTAATAATGTATATTTCATGTGATTCCATTCCCAGTGAAATTATTCTACCATAACCAAAAGTCATATGATAATGGATAACATATATCCCAAGGGAGGTTTAAAATACATGAAAAGACATGGGCTACAGCCTGTCAGTTTATTTAGCTGGGAATCAGTGTCTGCAGTACAGGGACAAGGCTAAATTTTTTTTAAATGTTTTTTTTGTTAATGTTTTTTTTGTTAATGTTTTTTTTAATGTTTTTTCATTATTCTAGTTATGAAATGATGACATAAAGACTCAAAATATTGTTATTTCGATAAATACATTCAATGATAACATAGTTTACCCACTAAGATTGTTGCATATGATGTATCCTACTCACCTGAAAATAATAAATTTATGGGAAAGTTTTAGTACTGCAGTTAAATTTAAATTAAGATGTGTTATTGTGTTGTATCACGCATTGGTTGAAACACTGATAAGGAGAGTGAGGTGAAACGTTTTACTTGCGATTATACACACAAAATAATGCCGTCATCAAATTATTTACTTTTAATATTGAATATTAATGTTACCGTAATTACCTTACATAATGACATCACAGAAATCTCAGCCAGTCAGCCACATGCAGTATCACACATCACTTAAGAACACAAGGGACAAATGCATTAAAGAAAATATAAAAAAAAAACAGACCACACTAGAAACACTGAACAGAAATATTAACAGAGCAGCCGAGATGGAGATATTAAATTAAAATGGCAATATCATCATCATTAATATTAATTGTGGTTACCTTCCACATGAAATTTTAAAATGTTATGACTCAGACTTTGTTCTGAGAAAACCAACTGGCACTAAAGTCTGCATTGTATCCAATGCAAAATACAGTAGAACCTCGGTTTTACGTACGGTACGGGACCGGAGGGCGTACGTAAATCGGGGGATTCGTAAAATAGAGGTTGGGTTAAATTTGTGGTAACCTTTGACCTAATACGTACGTAACGCTCAATATACGTATGTATGAATGAACGATGTTACCTAGCTAGGCTAGACCTAGCCTCCGAAGGCCTACGAATAAAACCATGTTTTGAGTGTTTTTATTCATCACTTTATTATGTCATAATAAAGTGTTGAAATAAAACCATGTGTCTAGTGTATTAATTCATCACTTTATGTCTTTTATTTAACAA